GCGTTTTAAAGAAACAAATCGAAAGTATGGTTTTGGGGGAAAATTGGTAAGGAGAAAAATAAACTCAAATATTATTTCTCCTGTTGTGTACATAAAACGGTCCAAGAGGAAAAAAAAAAAAAAAAACCCAAAAAGTTGATGATTTTAAAAGACAACATTATTCTTCCTTTCTCGTCTTTGGTCTAACAGGCTTCACAGGAACTAAGTAGCTGAGAAGAAGCACAGCGATAGGTATAACGGTTCCAATGTAATATACACTCTTGAAGGCGACGATTGTTTCATGCAAGCTTAAAACCTGAAAAATTACCCAAGAAATGAGAGATTTTTGACATAAAAAACAGTTGCAAGATACGCGAAAAAACCGGAGGGAAGAGTGTTTACCATGAAACCAACGGATGAGTAATTGAGAACCAATACTGTGTAGAGGAAATTGATGAGAACCAAAACATTTCTCAGCATTGCCATTTTCGGAGGGATTGCTTGTTGCCATCGGTAAATAGCTGTTCAATGCAAAAGGTGAAGTTTTTAGATACTTATTTACCGAAATTGAAATCAAAACAGAACACTAATGAAAGATGAAGGCGAGTCTCGTACCTTTCGAACCATCAATCATCAATGCTGATTGCACAAAGAATATAATGTAACCAGGATACAGTCCCTGCCAAAAAAAAAAAAAAAACAAGTAGAGATTTTGATTACTCTCTTTGGCACATAAAGATTGAATCTTTATGCAGAATTCGCAGTGCGAGCAAGTAAAACTAATTTTTATCGCCGTAAACAATTAAAAACCGCGACTTTTCAAGACTTCCCAAACATAATCTGAGTTGAGAGTATAACAAGGAAGGGAAGGAGCACTCACATGCCAGACAGCACTGACGGTTTGCGTAGCTAGCAATTGGAAGAAACCCGCTTTCTTCCCGGGCTTCACAATTCTCTCATATACGTCTGTGTCAAAAGGAAGAAACGGTTAAACGGCTTATAAAATATGGCAATCTTTAGGATCTCATGATATGCATTGTTACTCACAGTGACGGAGCCATGTGCTGACTTGTATGTTCCAGAAAAGCGGAATCTGAACCGCACTCTTGGCAAGCTCAACCCCCAAAATATCGACATTCTTCGCACGGTCCCATTTCGCCTTTGTTTGAGTTTCATCAGTCCAACCACTGAAACCCAAACCAGAGATAATAATAGAAGCCTCTGAAATAGACCATATGAAGTAATACTTCCAACGAGCCGTGAAACCCGCCATGTATTGGTAGCCAAATCTCTTCCAGAATCCCCATTCTTGGTACACTGGTTCAGTGAACCGGGTTAACGGAAACTGAGGTACTAAATAGAGATACAGAGCCATACAAATCGCAGCTTGAAATATAGCTCGAATCGTTGCTCCATAAGGCGATGGTCGCTTTCCTTTTACAGAAACATCCCAAATCTGAAATCCACACACAAGACTCAATAAATCAAGAATCTCCCTTTTACGACAAGTACATAGACCGAAGAATGAGAAAGAAAAACACTTACTCCTTTCTCTTCAGTCCATTCGAGATAATCTTTCATTTCGAAAACCGGGCCAGCGAAATGGCTTCCACAACAAAGGCAATAACCAAAGTACTCAATTAAAGAAGGCCTCTGAATCAAACGGTTCTTCTTCTGAGCCTCACGTAGACCTTCTTCTTTCAACATTCCATCATTGTAATTTATCGAACACGAAATCACTTTCAACGTTAACACCATCAAAGCTCCTATAATACATTTATCACAATCAAGATTCAGCCTCAAAGAATGTAATAATTACAATGATTCAAAGATCTAAAAGATTCAAACTCTTAAAATATCCCTACTAACTCCACACTCTTCTAAGAACATAAACCATCAAATCATCGAACATTGGAATCAAATGGAGAGAAAAAAGATTACCAGTAGAATCAATTCCTCCTTCTTTCCAAGCATCTCCACTCATATAAAACACATGACTACATAAACAAAATCACAAAATCGATCAAAAGGAGCAAGATTTAGAGACCCAAAAGCATAAAGGTTTAAACTTTACCAGCCAATGAGATAAGCGAAGCCCAGGAAGAAAGTAATCAATCCAGACAAGGGTCGATAAATCGCCATTGAAGCGTAACCAATCGTCATTGGGACAAGGAAGTGAAGATTTGAGGAGAAGCCAAAGGAGAGATAAGAGAGGAAAGCTCCAGAAGCAGCTGAGTAGATGTGTTTACCGAGTCGACTCGGGACGAATCGCCATAAGAACGAGATTGGTATCGTTGCGACGAAACAGAGGAGGAAACGGAGAACGGCGACGGAGACGCCGATTGAAGAAGCCATTGAGTTCATGTCAAGCAATTCCATGGCTGTGTGAAGTGAAAGATTGTGGATTTTGGACTGAGTTACGACGACGACGACGACGACGACTCGCACAGTTCGGACATCTGAATCAAATCGAATCTCTGATGGGGTCTTTTGTAGTTCGTGTGGGTTTGTTTCGATCTTGTTGACGAGGTTTATGTGAAGTTACAATAATACCCTCACTATTTTATCTATTACTGATGGGAAGTTAATAATATGTTACACACCGACTTATGTAGCTCGATCTCATTTATTCTCGTACCCAAAAAATAAAGACCAATGTTTGTCAAACTTTTCAATTTTTTTTGTGGAAGTGTCTTTTGTCCGCAAAGGTTCATTAATACTTCTACATTAGGCATGGAATTTGAGTTTCCGAGAACATAATTTTTTTGTAGATTGATAATGCTGAACTTATCAGAGGTATAAAGTACTGCATGCAGAGCCGTTCGTAGTAGTCTAAATGTTGCAGAGAGAGCATGTCTATCGCAGGGATGTTATAAATGCAGAACTGTCCGTTGAAGATCCGAGTGTTGCGGAGAGAATTAAGCCATGGAATCATTATTCGTTAGAGCTGTTCATCATAATTGTATATGCTGCAGATAGTTGAATATCATAATGATGATATGATTAGATTAGATATCTCTAATAATTATGTAATACGACAAAAAAAACTTTGATTTTTTTTCAATATTACAAGAATAGGAAATACATGAGTAAACATAATACAAAACTTTCTTGTAATAAAGATAATTTTTCATGTATTTTTCTTATTTCATATCAAAATTTTATTAATTATAACAACAAATTTTGATGAAACAACATAAATCTTAATTCGAAAGATGTTGGAGCACCTCCATATTTTAAGAACTTTGGTTTTTTTTTTTTTGCTAAATAATAACTTTGGTTATCTCTTTTGACAAATGAACGAAGTAGGTATGGAGAAGGATCAATTATCAAATTTACTTTTGGATGGTATTATAAACTTCGACCATCCTTACCAGTGATCAGCACTTACTTCTTTTCTCGGGCCCGTGGACCCCACTCATGTCCGGCGGTCGGTCTGCTACGTTCAGGAAGCTTTAAAGATTTATTTATCGACCATACAAATCACCACATGATCTTTTTCTGTGTTTTTTTCCAAACTAACACGGTTCCGATAATTACTTTGCGAAAGGTCACACATCCTGAAAATGCTCCAGCTTAAGCACCCTTAACCTTGGAGTTTTCTCAGGACGATTGACCGAAAAATAAATGTATGTTGGTGAGATAGATGGCTAAATCAATTTTTTTAAACATCTGCGCATGCACCATCATATTTCTGAAACCGGGATGTTGTGAAAAACGTGGAGTAAGTTAGTTTTTGATTTGTTACCGGAAGAAAAAAGAACAAGCGACGACACCCAAAGAAGCAGCCCATGTTTTACGTAATGGGATCTCGTTAAGGATTTGTTGTTTAGTAGCTTATTCATGGCAAGTAGAAAATCCTTTTAGTGGTCTAGCCGTCTAGGTCAGGTTAATATGAAGGGGCCTCATAGATGTGTCATGTGTATCCCTTTTACACACCAAAATTCTATGCCCTCCTTGGGCAACGAAACTTTATGTGGTTTCTAGGTCAGATTGCTCAAAACTACTGAAGATGTTATGAAATCATGCGTATTATACAATATATGTTTTCTATAGAGCTAGCTAGGAATGGTTTCAAGTTGCGATTTTCTTATAATTTTAATTCTATTGTTTTTATCACACGTTGTAACAATGTGTTGATTGTCTTACTAAAAGAGTTAAGGGCACCAAAATCTTTGATTTCCTTCATTAGCAACTTGGTTCTAGATTAGTTCCTTTTTTATGGAGAGAGCTTTGTCTAACCAGACTAATTAATAAATAAAATAAAATTTTGCAGTAACAAAAAAAAACGTTAAATTTTAAAACTTTAAAGTATCATTTATAATTATAGGCAATAACACCATATTTAAATACATATTTTAAATCAGTGTTTAAATAAAAATGGATTATGTTTAGATTAAATACAAGTCTATGTAGAAGAATATCCTTAGAATTTGTGAAATATATGATTGAACAACTCAGCTTACACAATTACAATCGGAATGCATGCTTATAATTACACAACAATTAATTATAGCTTGCTTTCTTTTCTTTTTTTCCAACTATATGAAATTGTGAAAACTAGATAGTTAAGAATTATATGTTAGGTTTAGAAAGAAACTTATATATTTTATGCTATTTGAAAAAAATCTATTGAATTTATTCGAAATACATGATTGAATAACTCATCTTGCAAATAAAATCATAATATCTACCAACAAACACACTACAATTAATTAAAGATTGATTTACGTACTCCTAATTTTTTTTATAAATGCAAAAACTAAAAATTTAAGAGTTTTATATTTTGTTCATACAACAACTCAAGTTCATGTTATTTCGAGGAATATCTATAAACTATTAAAGCTACATGATTGAGTAACTTATCTTGCAAATAAAAATCATAATACTTCCCAAATGATCACAAGAAATAATTTAATTAAACATAGATTTAGTACTTTATACCTTTTAGATAATAGTAAACCATATCTATGCGAATATCATTATATATGTGGAATATCACCTAAATTTAATTCTATATGTGTTATTTTACCTTAATAATTCTTATCACCTTCTATACAAACTTACACATACATCTTCCTATATAAATACACATAACCAACCAAGCAATCAACATCAACATTCACAAAAAAAACTTGTTTAATTAGTAAAGATAAGTCTCGGAGAAAAAAAAAAAAAAATGATGAACACAAAGAGTGTAGCCTTGTTAATGGTGGTGATGATGGTAACAATGGGAATGGAGAACATTTTGGTTCAGGCACATCGTCATCATCATCATCATCATCATTCTCCTTCTCCTTCTCCTTCTCCTTCTCCTTCACCTGATTTTGATGATATTTTTTCAGAATCTCCTTCTCCTACACCAGATTCTGATTCTCCTTCTTCTTCACTAGATTTTGATCTTTCTTCAAAATCTCCTTCTCATTCACCAAAATCAAAAGAAAAATCATCATCATATTGCATGATTGGTTGTTCTTTTGAGAAGTGCTTTCACCATGGCAAAAGCTCAAGTAAGTTTGGATCTTCTTCGTATTATTAACTAAGGATTGATCTGTGTATATAGATTAGCTTAATCCTTTGCAAATTACTTTTTTTTTATTAGTTGAACAGTTTAATTAAATGTTTGGCTCATACGTATGTTTCTTGTATTAAACCATTGATATTACAAGTTGTTGTTATAGTTTCAAACACGAAAACTGATATTATTTATGTTTATATTTGTCTATTTGATATTAAAAACTATAAGAACCTATAAATATTTTGGATTTAACTAAAATGTTCTTTTTTTTTTCTTTTTCTTTTGGGAATTAGTGATGAGAACAGGCCATGAGGAAAAGTTTGAGTCATGCATGAAAAAATGCTCGAAGATATGCAACAAGAAGAAGGAAAGCGATGATATATATGTCTAAATTACTAAAGAGCAAATGATTGTTGTTTCGCTCCTAGAATGCTTTTGTCTTATTACTTAATACTTTACTCATCAGATATATGTATCATCTCATAATGTTTTGTATGAGACGTAATAAATATATAAGGGATATAATAAACATTGATAGTTTCTTTAAACAATAATATCATATAGATGTCTAACAAATCTAGTGTAACACAGAATAAATTTAAAAGTTTTGATTAATTTACTAATTTCAAAAACTATATCGAAAATGCAACAAATTAAAGTAGAATTCAGATAGTTATTAGAAAATGTAATGCAATGCTTTCTTTAGCTCCCAATTGTCACAAAGACAAGGTCCAAATATTGGGAGCATGTACAGAGAGTTTATGTGAACTTTTTTGCACAGTATTTTTTAAACTATATTTGTAACACTTCGATCGTCTTAACATAATTACTTTTTCTTTTTATTTTATCGGAAACATATATGACTCATTATACGTTCCTCTAACTAACCTAGAATAGGGTGGAATGGGATTAGTATATTATTTTTCCTCACAAAAAAAATTCTAAATCGAGAGGAAGAAAATTCTTTTTTCTTTCTTTCGATGTTTAAACATTATTAGCCTATGGTACTAAAAAAAAAAAGAAGGAAATTTCAATCAATGGATAAGGTTTAATTTCTGTATGACTAAATATAAGATGCCATTTGAAATTTTCTCCATTCGTAGTTAGAAAGATCCTAAATAGTCTCATCCTCAATGTGTATATATACAATCAATCTTTCTCTTTTTGTTTTGGTTTTAACATAATCGGATTTTTCTCTTCCAGCTTCTTAACTCTCCTCAGCAAATTACTTTTCACCGAAATGGCTTTCAGAATCACCGTAAGTTTTTTTTTTGTTTTTTCTTGTCTATTCAAATGTAAATATAATTTTTGAACATTTCTATTAACTTTTTAATTTATAGAGTCAATTGCGACCGGTTAGAAACCAATTTGGTGGCTCTCGTCGTTTAACAACCACGGTCGCCGATGGCGCCAAACAAACATATAACAAGTAAGAGATATTGGTATATGGTTTCAATTTCAGTATCTTGTTATGAGTATTTCAACAAGCCTAATAGAATTTTTGTGATTTGTTTTCATGTTTCCATTTGTTCTTTCTTATAAAAGAATCTTAATTTTGTATAAAAGTGTTCGATCTAGTTGTAAATCTTAAATTTCATTTTCTTTTCCTTTTAGATTGGTATGGTATAGAGTATATATTAAGAGGTTCACTCTTTAATCTTAAAAAAGAACTTACAAAAGAAATTAAATTTTATTTCTATGTTTTCCTTACCAGTTTATGTTATTTCATTTTTTTCTCAAGCATGAAGAGGTTCTCAAAACTATAGTTTATTTTATGTATTTTGAGTATAACAAAATGAAAACAGAACAAATCCACAGAAAAGAAAACACAAAATTTGATATCAATGGATTTTTAAAACAGGTTCTCCATAATGGGAGAGTTTGCACCAGTGGCTATAATAGGAGGTTTTGTTGGTTTAGCGGTGCTTATGGCCGGACATAGCATCAAGCAGCAGCTTATGCATGCTCCGGCAATCAGTACAAGAAAGAATAGAAGAGCGGCTGTCGCAGAAGTCGATGATCCAGAAAATTGTGTTTCCTCTGCTGACAAATTTATCAACAAGTCTTGGCTACGTAAAGTAGGTCAGATTCAAGATAAGTCTAAAGCAATCTTATCTGATCCCACTCGACCTAACCCATTCACCACGTAAGTTCAGTGACCTCTCTTCACTTATATAGTTTTCAAGAAAAACAGTCACTAGAATTTCGTTTTATAGAAATCTGAAATCTATCATTTTTGTTTTGTTTTTGCAAAGGCCTCGAAATGCAGAGACATTGAACTCCGTTGGTGTGGCTCCAAAGGGAATCTGAAAAACTTTCTGATGAATCGAATAATATTTTCTGATGCATTTATCTTTTCTATTTCTCATGTTCCAATTTTGAGTTTTGAGCTTGTATATAAATGATCTCTTTATATTGTTTCAAATAAAGTTGCTTTCATTTTCTTCCTAAGTTGTTTCTCTTTATACATTTATCTAAATTCCCAACCAAAAAGATCTCTCGAACGTAGATAAGCATATTGAAGACTTTCATCACTGATCTTGTGTTTGCAACCTATTAAGGAATTGACAAAGAGTAGTACCAGTCTTGTCCATGAAGCAGTTACACACAACAACTTTAACATGAAAACGTAAACACACCTAACTACATCGAGAAGTAATCCCAAGAAAAGCAATACAAAGATTCGATTCATCTCATAGATGCTTTAAAGGAAAGATGGTTGATCTATTATACACCTTCTCTAGCGGATGATGAAACTGATTTAGGAAAGCATGTCCAGAAAGCTTTTGTCCAATCTCCCATCATGCAGCATATTAGTCACCAAGCCAATGGTTGAAGCATCTCCAGCAAACCCACAACTCCTCATCTCTTTAATGAGTTCAGCTGATGCTGCTTTGTCACCATCTCTAAGATGCGCCCTAATAAGCGTATTATAAGTACCACTATTTGGAAGAGGCCCGTCTTCTTTCATTTTTCTGAACAAGGTATATGCCTCCTCCTTTAAACCTTTCCTACAAAATCCTAAGATCATTGTATTGTAGGTTATAACATCAGGCCTCACTCCTTTAAGGCTGAGGCTACAAAATAAATTCCACCCATCTTCCACCTTCCCTGGCTTGCACATCCCTTCAATCATAATATTATATGTGCAAATATCATGTGCACATCACTGCAAGAAAAAAAACACACATAAAGAAAAACCAAAGATTTGTCAACAACCAAACCAAAGCTGCAATTCTGTAGAGGGAAAGCAAGAGAAGTGCGCGATCAAGCTCGGAAATGGTTGGCTATTCAGCGGAAGTCCATGAGTCACAAAAAGATAGAAATCAAATACACTTTTTAAGCTAAAGATGACACACGCACAGAGACTCGAGAGAAAATGAAAAGGAGAAAGCGAATAAGAAAGATTTAGACAAAAACAGAAATTCTCTGAATGTTTTATTAGAGGCACTGCCTTTGTACAACCCTTAACCAAAACAAGAAAGAAAGATTCAGACACGAAAAAAGACAACTGACCTGCATAATACTATTTCAGTAACACGAGACAAGTATTCTCCATTAGCTATTCTCTGAATGTAACAGAGCCTTTCATGTACATATAACACCTCTCCTGGTCAAAAACATGAAACGTCATACGAAAATGCATTCTCGAACATAACAAACCTTGAATCACCAAAACTGCAATCAATGTTTGTTATCAAAAGAGACTCAGACATTGGAAATCAAATCAAAACTTCAGTTACTTGCTTCATTTGTTGAAAAATTGATCGTAGATCAAATTCAGAACACTACGTTATATAGGTCAGGTCACACACCATTAACATAAAATCAAAGGAATCATTAATCCAGTAATCTGAATGATCATATGAGCAAAGAATGTGCGTTATACTTATGTTAAGAGGATAACATTGGCTCAAGGACGAGGAGAAAACCGTGTCTGTGGGGAGTTCAAAATCAGATCAGGTGCTCAAGTGAGCTGAGATATGAAATCTCGAATATTCTAGTAAGCGGTGCTAGCTAGAGAACAATTATAAAATTTTACAATATTTTGTTATGATTAGATAGATATCCTGGAGTTTGGCTTTGAACGTTGCTTCCTTGTATTTTTTATGTTGTGATTTTGGTTAGACATGTACCTTTATTTTTTCGCCGGTTAGACATGTACCCTATATAATGGGAAGTTTTAGGATGGAATAAAGTGTAAGAGTTTAGCAGTACGGACTTCATTACCTCGAAATAACGAAGTTGGCGATATGCCAGTCTCTGGAAGCAGCGGCAAATCTCCATTCTTAATGAGCTCTTCTTTTCACAGAAATCCACAATTGAATTTTGTGAGCTTTTTTTTTCATCTCCTACAAGATCCCCAAAACAGTTGTAACCATATGCTAAGCAGATTCAATATGAGTTAAAAAGCCTTTTTGCATTCACAAGAATTTCACGCCTAAAATAACAAAGAACAGTATCAGTCATATTTAGGCCTGGGCAAAAAAACCGTACCCGAGTACCCGAACCGAAACCGACCCGAAAAAACCGGTTCGGGGTGGGTACGGGTATTAGCTATTTACCCTATTGGATCTTGTATTGTCGTACCCGTGGGTATACGGTAAAACCCGATCCGAACCCGATATCCGAACGGGTACCCGATTACCCGAAATTACATATACTTATACATATATAAAAAGTAATATTTGAGCTAAATACATTTATATCTAAATATCCGAGAATAATTACCAAAAATTAAATGCACTTATATTTAAATATTTAAGACAAAATATATTTATACGCGAGATGCTTGTAAATTTTTTAAATATTTGGACAAAATTCCGGTTATTCGGATAAATTTTTGGGTGAAACTTGGATATTATAGTAAAATTGCGGATAAAATTCGGGTATTTGGTAAAATTTTGGGTATTTGGGTATAAAATACCTGAACCCGATGGGTACCCGATTTTTTTGGGTATTTAGCGGTTCTAAAAATCTAAACCCGAACCGACCCGAACCCGATTAGATCCGAACCGAAACCGAACCGATATTTTAGATTTACCCTATTGGGTCCTAAACTCCTCTACCCGAAAGACCCGTACCCGATCGGGTTTTACCCGAACCCGACCCGCATACCCGAATGCCCAGCCCTAGTCATATTCATGAAGCTTAGACACAACAACAACCGAATATACACATATCTATTTCTAAATGTAAACATGAGAACATAAGGACAGCACTGAGAAGAACTAGTCAATAGAAAAGTAAAATAAAAATCCGATTCACCTCAAAGATGTCTTTAAGAAAGCATTTCCAGAAAGCTTTTCTCCAATCTCCCATCATGCAACATATTAGTGACCACTGACCAAGCCAACAGTTGAAGCTTCTCCAGCAAACCCGCAACTCCTCATTTCTTTGATGAGTTTAGCTGATGCGGTTTTGTCACCATCTCTAAGGCGCGTCCTGATCAGTATATTATATATACCGCTATCTGGAAGAGGCTCATCTTCTTTCATTTTTCTGAACAAGGCATCCGCTTCTTCCTTTAAACCTTTCCTACAAAATCCTGAGATCATTGTATTTTAAATTATAACATCGGGCTCCACTCCTTTAAGGCTGAGGCTACAAAATAAATCCCACCCTTCTT